CTAAATAAATATCATTTATAAAACTTAAATAACCCAGAAACATATTTAATAAAGTTAGAAGCTAGCTGTTGGAGCTAACGGAGTTAACCATTTAAATCCCAGCTAACTTTCAGCTCTGAGCTTTAATAAGTTTTATCAGCCGCTACAACCATCAGCAGCACAGCTGCYGGTCACTTTTACAAACAAAAAGATAAAGTTTTACAACCTTTAAAGACGTGTCTGGAGCTGAATCACAAAGTTACACCACTGTGAGAAGACTCAGGCTACAGGCCAATCACAGGCCAGGTGACGTCCTCGTTTCCGGTTACCATTGGACAACTGTCTGTCAATCAAAGCTGGATAGGCGGGTCCCTGAGGACTGTCCAATCAGAGTTGAGATGTGAGAGTGGGGGCGGGGTCTGTATCAATCCAAACTGTTTGATGGACGACCACCAGGAGGTGCTGCGTTCAGGGGCAGTGGGACACTTCTGGACCGCGTTACCAGGGACAAAACTTGACATTTTTATAAGAAATACATTTATTACACATTTAAAAACACTTTGTAAATCCCTGATTCATATAAAGACAGTTTTATTTATCATTATTTCTTCAGCTCACACAGATCTGTTTCTCAGTTAATCTGTAAACATTGAGTTAATTTAAATATTAAGAACAGTTTATCCTCTGTACAAACCTCTGCACCTCTACTGGACACAAACAAGTTCAACAACATTAATAAAGTTGGACAAAATGTTTCCTGTTTTCAGCCTCAGACGTTTCTGTTAAAGTTTATTTGTTACAGAAAGAAAAAAAGTAAAATAATCTTTATTATCTGACACAAAATAAACTCAAACTCTTGTTTTTTGTGTGTTTGTGAGTTTTTCTTTAAAGCTTCTCCAACAGCTCCAGACCCTGAGACCAACTGGTCCTGATGGAGGTCCATCCTGAAGCACCCTCCTCCTCCTCCTCCTTCTCCTCCTCTTCTTCCTTCTCCTCCTCCTCCTCTTCCTCCTCCTCCTCTTCTTCCTCCTCCTGTCCTCTTCTGCATCTTCTGCTTCTTCCGGGCCAGCCGGGCCTCTCGGACCTCCTCCAGAGTTTTACGGGGGTCCAGAACAAAGGCCAGGGCCACAGTGGCCGTCCCGTCTCCGTCCTGCCGTGAGAAACACAGGAAGGTGGCCCAAAGGAAGGCGCAGCCCCCCATGAAGGCCGTCCGCAGGTACAGAGGGGTCAGGACAAAGTTCAGGAACTGGAACAGAGCAGAGTCCGAACAGAAACTTTATCCTGGAACTGAAATATTGATGTTCTGAGCAGGGCCAGTTCTGTTATTATTATTATTATAACTATTATTATTATTATAATCATTGTTGTTGTTATTATTATTATTATTATTATTATTATTATT